AGAAGCAAAAATAAACTCAAAATCTCACTATCGACAATTTGTATCATTTTGATGGATCTAATTTGCTTGAAAAAATGCTGATAAAAACCTATGATATTCTCTATTAGTAATAGATAGTTCGGTGAAATATCTCAAGGCAATATAACGAATTTTAAAGATCTATTTAAAAAAAAAATCAATAATCTATATGCGTTGTGTGTTACAGAGATTAATGCTTATTGTTCTACTATTGAATACTAATCTTCTAAAGTACTGACAACTCGAAATTTCAGCAAAATTTTTTCTTGGTGTAGTTTTACCATGGTTGAATAGAGCTCGTTGAGTTACCTACAGAAATGTTGTCAGATGATATTTTTATAGTGAAACTTTTGGTGAAAAAAAAAAACACTCAGACAAGCCTATAAAAATTGAAATACGCCAAAAGCATCAAGTCTCAGTACTCTCAATACATTTCTTTTGATTTTACTTGGCATACAGTTAAGAAAAATAGATTATGCGTGCATCTTGAAAAATATTATTGAAACTTAGGGGGAAGCCCATGTTAGAGTATTCGAAAACAACACTGAAGAGGTGTACAGGTCAAAATTTAATGAAAAATAAATTCGAGTGTTGAGTATACTATTCAATGAATGTTTTTATGCTAATTTTAGAGCTTGTCGGGTCCAAGATTTTCGAACCCGAACCCGATCTGATATGGGACTAATCCGATGAATTCTAGCTGATGATTTCTACTAACATATTTAAGAATAAATGGTCGGTTATCATTTTCTTGTGAATTCAATTTTGCTTCTTGTTGCCGTTTAAGTTTATCCAAAAATTGTTGTACTTCAGGTCTTAAAATAAAAAGACGCAAAAATAGATAAATGTTTTTTTTTCTTATGTTATTCTACTAACTGTGGTCCAACATCATTTAATTGTAAACGCATTGTAGCTTTATAATTATATTCTTGTTTTTCTTCAGCTTTGTTTATATTTGAAAGACTACATGTTGAATTTCCAGTTGTAACTTGTACACCAACAATATAACCATTTTCATTAATAAATAAAGTAACAGTATATTGAAGTTGTGCTTGTAAAATCAAACACTAAAAGAAAAAGAAAAATATTTAAACAAAAAATAAAATAAAATAAAAATTATACCATTGGTATAGATGTCATAACATAATCTTGTATTGTACCACGTTTAAAATGAACTTTTAATGTATAATATTGATAATCATTGTTTAAATTAATTAATCGTTCGTATTGTGATGATGAAATAGTTCGTGATGGTGGTAAATCAAGATTTGATTGACGTGAAAGACGAATATTCATTTTAGAAAATGATATAAATTTTCCATCTAATTAAATATATAAAATTATTTATTTATTTTTCTTGATTTAATATTATTTTTCTTACCAATATTATCTTCGAAATTAAGTGATACCAAATCATCATTTGTATCAACAAATGCCTACATACAAAAAAAAAAGAAGATAAATTCCAAATTTTAAATATTTATTTAAGATGCAAAATTAAAGCAAACTGTTTTTTTAATATTTAGTTAGATAAAGTTGACTGCGAATATATATTTTTTAATGCCTTAGTTTAAAATTAGTCTCACACATTCAGCTTATCATAATGTATCTAAACATATTAATTTTACAATCCGCATGAAATGAAAACTTTTTTTTTTATCAAAAATCTTTCAAAAGAAATTAAAAAAATATATATTCGCAGTCAACTCTATCAAACTACGTATACAAAAAAAAACGAAAAAAATCAATGTGCTTTAATTTTTCACCTTAGAAAAAAACATACCAAAACGAAACTTAATTGTAAAATTAATATAAGTAAAATCGTCCATCTGACAATAATATTTGTCTGTTTAAACATCGTTAAATGATTAGAAAACAAATATTATTTTCTTTAAGGTACTTCTAGCGACTCATTGAAATTTTATTCGAGAGTATGTCAACCAATCAATAAGGCAAACAATCACTATATTTTATTTTGTATGAGTGAATGAAAAAAGGAAGACATCAATAAAAATGGATTTAGACGATGGAATAGCTGGAAAAACTATTATATTAGGAAATAAGGTATGAATTGATTTTATAAAATTCTTTAATAATTAATTTTAATTATTTTTAGACATATGAACTTGATAAACTTAGTCCTGAAGAACGTTTTCGAGTTCGACATGAAGCTATACATGAAAAACATAAAGGACATGAATCTATGCATATGGAAATGGTACTTGTTTTACTTGTATCACTTGTAATATGTCAATTTATAATATTATTTTGGAAAAGTTATCATTTACGATCTTATCAAGTAAACAAAGAAGAATTTAAAGATAATGTGAAACATATAATTTATTTTGTTTATAGTTTTTTACAATGATTGCTATGTGGTTAATACCATTAGGTTTATCAATGAAATTTTATTATATTCGTTTTATTATTATTTGGATTTGTTTTACAATTATAACGGTTTATGTTACTCAAAGAGCAACAAGACAACCAATTGAACCAAATACACCTAGGTAAATATAAAAAATATAATTTTATTTTTATTTTTTGAAGAAATAGACATTATCAATTATAGATTAGTTTATAAATGGTTTCTTCTTGTTTATAAAGTTTCATATGGTCTTGCTATAGGTGGTTATTTTATAATCATGATGACTTTTCTTGGAATTAATAATCTTTTATTAGTATCTCCACAAGTAATTGAAATACAAAATTCTTATTTTTAATAATTAATAATTTGTTATTTTAGACAGCACTTGATTTTGGAATTTTGATTATGTTTTATGGTATTTATTATGGTGTACTTGGAAGAGATTTGGCTGAATCATGTACTGATCGAATGGCATCAAAGATTGGGGTGAATTGAATTTGAAAAAACAAAACATAATTAGTAAAACTTGAATATTTAGTATTATTCGGAAAGTGGTTTACCTAAACGAGCATTAGAATCAAATACATGTGCGGTTTGTGCTAATCCAATATTAGTACAAAATAATGATGAAGCTTTAATTGAACGAACATATAAATTACAATGTGGACATACGTTTGTGTTATTTCTTTTTGTTCGAATTGATTTTGTTTTTTATGATATTTAATTGAATAGTTTTCATGAATTTTGTATACGTGGTTGGTGTATTGTTGGAAAAAAACAAACATGCCCTTATTGTAAAGAAAAAGTCGATTTAAAACGATTATTTCCTAATCCATGGGAGGTATGTTGAAATAAATTTTATTTATTTATTAAATTTTTATTGAATATGATCTTTATAGAAACCTCATGTACTCTATGGAAATTTACTTGATTGGATTCGATATCTTGTTGCATGGCAACCATTAATTTTAATGGTTGTACAAGGTGTTAATTATATTCTTGGTCTTGAATAGGAGAATAAAATAGTACTAATGAATTCTTTTTTTCTTAGTCGATTCAAATTTAATCAATAGACAATCTTTAGAAAACATTCAACTTTTATGTTTTGTTGTTTTTCTTTTGTATTGTCATATACAAGATATTTAAATAAAAATATATATATATGTTGTTATTGATTTCTGTGATTGTCAAAAACATTTCAATTCTTCCAGATAAATTTTTTTTTTTTCAAAAAAAAATAAAACTTCACAATATCTTTTGATTTGTGTAAGATCTAACAGGAGTTATGGGATTTGAAAAATTTGCTTATTTGATTTCAGCGGAAAAAGTAATCATTACTTAGTCCTCTATTATTACAATGCCTTTTTGGGAAAATTTTGTTCACGAAAGCTTATTTACTGGATTTGCCTGTCTGGTGTGACATATTTTTCTTTCAGAAGAAATATCATTTTCCTAAAGTTTGAGGCTCCGGTAAGATGTATTTGAGGATGAAGTTCAACGTGCCATGAAAAATAGAGGTTTTATGGAAATGTTAAGTTATACACTGTAGTATCATTAGCTTTCAATGGAAATTTGTATGTACAAATGCCTACACATCAGGTATATTATCTCCAAATTACAAGACAATGGGATGTTGTATTGAAGAAATATAAAAAAAATGAATCAGTGACACAATTTTGATATAAATTACAGCGTGTAAAAATTACTGAAAATATCTAAATTTTGGAATTAAAATTTGTTTTTTTTCTTACAGACTTACGACAGATCATTTTATTATCAACAGTACATATAAGCAGGAAATGTGAATTGTGTGCGATGTTAAAAATTAAAAGGATTTGTTGTGACTCTGTAAGAAAAAACAAATATTAATTCTAAAATTTAGATACTTTCAGTGATTTTTATATGCTCTAATTTGACTCAAAATTGCGAAGCTGATTCGTTTTCCTAATATTTCTTCAACACAACGTCTCATTGTCTTGTAATTTGGAGATAACATATCTGATGGACAGACACTTGTACATACAAATTTTTATTGAAAATTAATGATGCTCAAGCATATAACTTAACATTTCACAAAAATCCCTATTTTTCATGCTGTGCTGAACTCCATCCTCAGATACATTTTACAGGAGCCTCCATCTTCATGAAAACAACATTTCTTCTAAAAACAAAAAATTTGTCACACCATACAGACAAACTCAATAAATAAGCTTTCATGAACAAAATTTTTCTGGAAGGTATTGTAAGAGTACACAACTTGGTAATGATTATTTTTTCCGCTGACATCAAATAAGTAAATTTTTCAAACCTAATAACTCCTATTAGATCTTATCCAATCGAAAAAATGTTGTAATACGCAGATATTCGAAGGCATTCTCTCTACAAGCTGACCAAATTTGAGAGCATGTTGTAGGAGGTTGGGTATCATTCTTAAATTGTTTTTCGAGTCATAAGAAACTCAAAGAATAATTATTTCTTATTGTTTAGTCTATTAACCTAAGTAAATTTTCTTGCCTTTGTGACAGTCACTATTTAGAGTTTCTCATAGAAAAATTTCTATTTCCGTTTATAATATTAAAACAAAAATTCACGTTAATTATTTTATGTCTTTGAGATGACAAATTATACTGATCTTTCTTCAATTACTCTTGCTCAAAACGATATAATTCAATATATATTTAACAAAGAAAAACCTGAGTAAATACTTGTATTATTCTTTTTTTTCAAATAATTTACTTTCATTGTTTTCTCTCGTTAGTAATATTGATCAACATCTCACTCAAATCATTATTGATTTAATAAAACAACGTGGCTTTACTGGTGAGTATAAAATCCTTCTTTACTGATCCAGTTTTCTTTATGTATTTTATTTCAATGATAGACTATGATTCACAATGTGTTACTCTTCTTCAGACATGTTTAATTGATTTTTATAATGATTTACTAATACGTTTTAAACAACATTTTGAATCAATTGGTTCTTCAATTACTATTCAGGTTATTAAAAAAATATCTCTCTGATTTAATATTATATATGATTTATTATTATAGGATGCTTTTCAAAGAACATTAAATGATATTATGTCAATTAACTTACGAGAACTACATAGTTATATGAAAAGAAAACATTAATTTATGTCAATAACGGATTTTTTTGTTAGATAAAATAAAATATTTTTCATAAAAATTTTGTTGTTTTTTTTTGTCACTAAGGACTAAATAATTATACTATTTTCATATTTATTTATAAACGATAAAATTTAAGATACATGAGGAATTCTTTGTTTTTGACTTTTTGACAGTGATTAATTTGAGAGACTTCAAAAGAAAGAGAATACAAGAACGATCACATTTATAAAACTTTGATTAGATGTAGTTTCAAACGAGCAGAGATGTATCTACATAGACTTTTTTTTCATTTAAATACATTGACTATCTGTTGTTATTTTTATTTTATTAAGTTACCATGAAAGATTCCTGAGTACCTCTTTCATGCATGACTCGCATTTTTAAATAGGTACATCTTGAAAACTTTCTTTTCGTTGGTTAAACGAAGTAAATCTGATTTCACATGAGTCTCGATCGACACAATCGAAGTGTTTGATTTTTTTCGCATTGACTGTGTCGACTGAATCTTTTTTCATTAAAATTTATTAAAACTCACGGTAATCATAATAAATAGGTATGAGCTATCATATGATCATAGATGGCCTACTGATTCTTGGAATGTAGGTAATTATGATGGAAAAATTTTCTCATATTTTTGAAGTCGATGTAAAATATTAATTATGCAATTGAAAATAAACATATTTTGACATTTGTCAACGTATGATTTGTTCCGAAGTGTTTTAGTTTTGTTTTCGTATGTTGTTTTACTTGAATTAAAAATTAGCTTCGACTCTGTTCTTTAACTTTATTGCATAGTAAAATGATATTTAATAGAAAATTTGTATAATTGTTCGAGTTTTTCTTCCAGTTCTGAAAATCTTCTTCATTTGATTTAAGTTATTTTATATTCGGAAAAATCTTTGGTTTTAATTGTATCGTTTCTAAGACTATACTAAAATATTTACTTTAGTTTTGTTATCTATCCTCAAATTTTATCTTGTTGTTTATCTAAATACTTCCGTTTTTTATCTTAAGGCAACATACATGTTGGTTCTGTCATTTTATATCTACATCTGACTTTCTATTCTATTTAAGTAAAAAATTTCGATATTTTCAAGGGATATTCACTTCTTTCAGAGAGAACGAATTTAATATTTTTGTCGATTAGTATAGGTGTGAGGAATAAAAAAAAACAAAGAAAAGAATAAACTAAAACTCCTATAAACGTTTTTAATTATTGGAAAATCCCATGTTCTGTTACATATTTATGTTCGTATTCGTCGACGATCACAATGACGTGTCGAATATAAAGAAGATAAGAATTATATTTACTTATCAACATTATATAATATCGAGTTAAATTTATCTAAACGTTATTATTATTTTTCGTTTTATATGAAGATTTTGTTATGAGTGAATAATGTCGAAAGAAAATAATGGTGTTAATAATGTTGATCAACAGATCATCAATGGAAAGAAGACATCTCGAACAATATACTTCTATATTCTACGCAATACAACAATAGATGAGAGATTCAAAATCAAAGCTTATTTTAATAATGATATTAAATGTACATTTAATCGAGCAGAAGTATTCGATGAAAAAAAAAATAATAGTCCTTATATTTATTGTCTTGAATTAAATATAACTATTGATGATCAAGATTGTTTATTTATCAATCATCAAAACACTTTATTACCTATTGAGAATTATCGATTATGTCTTTCACGTAAAATTCCTCAAACTGACAGAACATTTCGTGATTATAACGACGATACAATTCGATATATTAAAAATCTTCGTTCTACTAAACATTATTTTCTATTTGATGTTAATTTTGTTAAGAATTTTGTTGATGGTCCTCCCGGTAAGAACCTTTTCAAAAAATATAAAATTAAATATCTTGAAGAAAAATAATAAAAAAATAAATGAAATTTATTTTATAGGTGAAAATGTTCCATTTTGGAGTCAGTTATGTTTATATACATATTATATTCTTCGTCATCAAATGCTTGATCATTTTAATACATTAATCGATCAATTTCAAAAAGTTGTTCAAGAAACTAATCGTAAATTAATACGTGAAGAATTTAATGATTTCTTTCAAAGTTGTATAACTCATTTATCTTATGCAATACCTCCTTTAACAAATCAACATATTGCTGAAAAAATTATTATTCGTATGACAGGACTTTTACCAATAACAAAAAGCAATTTTGATTTAACTAGTCATTTTGTTATAAATTTTGCATTAGCAATGATCGATGATATAAAAGAACATTATGATCATTTATTCGCAACAGTTTCAGTAGGTGATTGGCCATTATTTCGCGATGGTCTAACCTTATATCTCTCAATTGAATTACTATCTAAATCAAAGGATACTATAGAATTAGTTCATCAAATGAAAAATGAACAATGTAAAAAAGATCTAGCTAATGTATTATTACAACGACTTGAATTATTACAAAGGCCAGTTTTAGGTTTAAATTGGACAAGTCTATTCACAATTGTTGATCCAAATATTCTTACATTGAAACAACTTGAATTAACAAGATCAATACAAACATATATAACATCTTTAGTACAGATTGTTGGAATGAATATTACTGAAATGGAAATTACCGATACAATAGTTCGTCATTTTGATCGTCTCATATATGAAGATTGTTTACCTGGTAAAATAAAAATAATATTTTATTTTTTACTATTTAAAATTTATTTATTTATTTATTTTCTTTTGATTTTAGTTGATCTTGAAAATATCATATTTTTAATTAAATTTTTACAAATGGAATCATTAGAAACTGATGAATCATCAAAAAATATTTTAAAAATTGTTAATACAACTATTGAATCAAGTATGCAATTACGAACAAAAATAGAACAATATTTATATACATTAACAATAACAAATGAACAATTTAAAGATATTCGTTTTATTATTTCATTCATAGAAAAATCATTTATTTTATTTTTAGTTAATAAAAGATCTTTATTAATTCATTTATTGAATCATGCATATACATCATATTCATATGAATTTTTTAAACAATGGTTTTGTTCATTTTTATTATCTAATGATGAAGTAAATGATCGTAATAAAAAAGTTTATCAAGATTTACTTGAACATTGGTCTCATCAAATGTCTAGATCTTATGAAATAATGATAAAAATAATGATGGATATTGATTTGTTAATTAATGCTTTTGAAAATGAACAATATCGATTAATTTTTATTAATCATATGATCAAACTTTGTTTTCAACAAGGTAAAACAAAAAATAATTGCTCGTTAAGTTAATTGAAAATGATTAATAATGAGAACAAAAAAAAAGAAATTTTAGTAATACATTTTCATCATTCTCCTGTTCTACACTAGGCCTTAATCTTCTTTACCTCCTGATTTAATACTTTCCTGAACTAGTTATTGTCACTATCATTGCATTGAGTCTAGGAATTGTTTTAACATTGATATTTCTTCTATTATGGAGATCGCAAAGAACATACAACTAGTGGCATAGCCAGAAAAAAATTGTAGGGGATTCACTGTCTTCTCTTCCCTTCCCTTTTCCGGCCGTATGTCTAGAGGGGACAGAGATCTCTCTGGTTACCTGTTCACAGGGTGGGAGAGGGAAATTCCTAAGCTGATAAATCACTTTTGCGACGAGGCCATATACATCACATTAATCTTAACGAGCCATGAATATCCTGAAAAGATTTCGAATTCTTAGCTAATGGCTACCGAAATACTACATTTTTATATTATTTTTTAGCTCAATGTCGTTAAAACCTTGGGAGACACCAGGAAAACTAAGTTTTGAATTTCGACTTGAAATTTTGCACAGAGACAGGTCTGAACAAGAATAGATTATTGTAAAAGTGTCATATCTTTTCATTGTTCCTATTCTTAGATGTGATTATAATAAGAACTTGTCCTATGTATCGCTCATCTACACCGGCACATTCGATATTCTCATTTCAAGATAGGAGCAAATCAAAAGACTTGAAACATTCACAAAAAACTATTCTTGTTAAGGTCTGTCTCTGTACAAAGTTTCGAATCAAAATACGAAAATTACTTTTTTCCTAGTGTTCCTGACGGCAACCACCGCTTTTATTTAAAAAATACTGTAAAAATGCAATTTCTTCACAGTAATAGGCAAAGGAACTAAACTCTTTTAAAGGTATTCATAGCTCATTAGAGTATTCATGATGCACATAGTTTCGACTCAAAAGGGACTGATCAGAGATCAAAGTAAATAAAATATAAGACAAAAGCCATATGCTAACATGAATAGAATTTCTAGTCGAATCATATTCAATTCAACTGTCTTCGATTGACTATGTTCACTACAATGTTGATAAAGTGTATATTTTTCTTTGAATAGACGGATTAACTCGTAGATATGAAAATATCGGAAATACAATACACATTATCTGACTATATACAGTTACAGGAATCTTCAGCCCGAACTTTTGATCCGGTCTTAAATTGACCTCAATAATTCCTATAAAAAGTCTTATTTCTTTTATTAGTTGCTACATTCCGTAATGCTGAGTAGAACAACATAGTGCTCAGGATGTGAGTGTGGGTATGGATCCTCTATCAGTCCACAGTCGCAATCACACATTATGTATCCATATCCGAAATATCCCCATCCACATCTATTCACCTACACGCCCATTATGCAATGTTATGAACAATAGGTCTTAATGGAAATGCATACTGCTCAGCACTACAGAACGTAGCAATTAATTTGAGAAATAAGGCTTTTTATAGGAGTTAATGAGGTCAATTTAAGTCCGGGTCGAAATTCCAATCTTCCACTATATATCATGACTTAGGTAGGAGTTTATAGCTTGGTGTTTGTTATGAGTTTGTCATATTTTTTTTCCTCTGATTTATATAGGATCGTCTCCATGATTAGAGACACGATGGCAACAAAGTTTAAATAAGTTTAAAAGAATCCATCGTTTTCAACACTTCCTTCAATAAATTCAGACAAACCTGTGAACAACC